AGCAGTTTCTCATTTACTGTGGAAATTGCGGACGAGGGGTCACACAGTACCCACCACACTAGAGTCCTCCCACGCCAGACTCTCCACACGTCATGACCACGCCAGAGCCTTGTCACGTCATAGCTGCCATGCCATAGCCTGGAGCTTGATCCAACTTTAAACTTACCAATCATGACCATCGTGGTCTCAAGTCCTGGTCTCAAGTCCGGTGCTTCCAAGTCCAGTGATCTCAGCACTTTCAAGTCCGGTAGTCCCTATTCAAGTAGTCTCGGCACTTCCAATGCTGCTGGTTTCAAGTCCAGTGGTCTCCACGTTTCCAAGTCCAGTGTTCCCAAGTCAAAGTCCGGTGGTCCCGGGGATCATCCCTTTGTCCATGGTGCTTTCAATAGTGGCCACAGCTATGTTGTGTGTGTGGGATTCACAAACTTCCCCAGAGGCAGCCGCATCTGCTGCAGCTCCTCCCGAGGCGGTGGCGTCTACTACAGGAAGCCATGTCCACAAACTCATGACAAACTCATGTAATGGCCAGGAGGACTGCCCAGGTCTTTGTTCTGGCCTCCTGATCTCTGGTGGTCTTCTGCTCTTCCATGCCCCCCTGTTCTCCAGTGCTCATTTGATATGGAAGTATGCATCTTTCAGATCTATCGTGACAAACCAGTCCTCGGATCTGGTTTGAGTCACAATCTGTTTGAGTGTCAGCAACATGGAATTGAGTTCCAGCACCGAACACTCCAACAGACGAAGATCTAGAAAATGACGCAGCTCTCCATCCTTTTTTGGAAAAATGAGATAACGGCTGTAAAGATCCGAGGGAATGTCTGGTGAGTACACCTGCTCTATAGCTTTCTTTGCTAACAGGGCCTTTACCTCTTGCTCCATTACCAGAGCTTGCTCGGGATGCACTAACGTGAGCAACACCCCGTTGTAGCCTGGAGGACGAGAACCAAACTGGAATCTGCCTCTTACTACTATCTGCAGAACCCATAGAGATATATTTGGCAGTAGCTTCCACGCTGCCAGAAAATCTACCAAGGGATCCAGCCCCTCGAGGCTGGCCTCTGGTGTAGTTGAGAGAGACTGTTTTCGAACCCCCCTCAGAGGGCGCGAGTCTGACGCAATGTCGAGTTGACACTGCGCCAGAGGCTCGCTGGAGAACGCTGCGCCCCAAAGCACCATCGGTGGCGGGGTTGGCAGAACGGTCCCGTGAGGACACCAAGATGGGCGCCGTATAATGAGGTGTACACCGTTCCACCCCGGTTGGGGCTGCCCTCACTGGTCTGACGCCGGTGGCGCCATTTCTTTTGAGCCGAAGCCTTCTCAGCGTGAAGAACGGCCCTCGGAACCGACTTATGCTTCGAAGGCTTTTCTCACTAGATTAGAAATAGATTCCTTTAATGGTTTAGTGAGAGAAGCCGACGCCTTCAGGGACGATGCTGAACCGGGAGACAGATAGCTCGCAAGCGTCTGTTCTACCCGGGGCATCGCCCCATATCCATACTCTCTCAACCCCCTAATATCTGAATATAGATATAGATGAGAGGTTTTTCCCATGATCTAGACAGCTCGCTTAGCAGATCAGAAAAAAATGGAAGGCGCCGTGATGGGGGTGAAACAATAGAGGGAAGGAAGCGCTCGTTTAATTTATTTTTATTTTTAGGACGAGAGCCCTTTTCCTCTGAGGGCCATTCAATATTTAATTTATCTACAACCCAAGTAATCACCTCCACCAGCTCCTCATACTCTGGGGAAAGAGATGGCGATCCTCTTCCCCCCTGATTGTGTCACTTTCAATGCCCAGCACATCTACCTCCTCGGAGGTAAAGCACTAAAGTATTGGTCTCTCTCCCCGGGCGGGCTTCCGAATGGAGAGAGAGCAATGGATCCCTCGGGAAAGGGAGGAGAAAAGATCCTCGGACCCGTCTCCAACCCCGTAAAGAGATCCATTTGCAATCCCCAGGAATGCAATCTCCGCGCTGTCTCGGCAGACGCGGGTCCTGCACCCTGAGAACCGCGAGCCGAAAAGTGACAGGCGGGAGCGGATCATGCGAAGCGAAAGCTTCTCACAATGTTGGCAATCAGCCCCCTCGAAGGCTGATTACCGCATGCTCCACTCCCAAACACAGCACACAAAGCTTGTGTGTGTCCCACTTGTTAAATAACGCGAGCAGGGAGAAACACAGAGTCTGTGCAATTGTTTCGCCATAGTGTTTATATATATATATCAGACAGACAACAGTAAATATAACAGACAGATTGACACAGATCGCTTGCTGAGGCAACAGAAGCTAATGCCGGTTGCACCGGATGCGCTTTTATCTCTTCCTGGTCATGACGACACCCGCCCGTGACGCTCATTCCATCCATTGGGCTAGTTGACATAGATGCTTCAGACACATTCACACTGGAAGCTTTCCCAAAGCGTCATCGACGCATTGCGAGTTCTCTGGAAAGGGAACGTGAATCTCTGAAAACGATGACATAATGCACATGCATATAATGTGTTCAGTCTTTAGTGTTTCATCGCCATCTAATGGCCTGGCAGCAGAATACAGCGTTTTAGTCGTTTTCGCGGATCCTTGTGAATGGGGATCGTTTTGACAATGGTGTCGTCTCTATGCGGAAATCTCAAAGGAAAACTCAAAGGAAAAAGAGTTATTTTTCTGTGGTCACGAGAGTTGATAGATGAGTGTTCACTGGATGAACAGGCTAATTTAATTGATTGTAACATTAATTCTGCAACATCAAGTTAATTCTATTAACTGATCCAAATATTTATAATTAACTATGAGTTATAATTAATTATTCATATTTTCCTTGAGCTAATCTTAAACAATGTCTTGTTTTCATTGGTTCCTTTGTTGCATGTGTCATGTTCTCATTGGTTGTCATAGTTATGTGTTCCCCTGTATCTGAATTTGTCTATCATTTTCCATGTTGAGCATTTACATCATTTTACTGCAACCCAGTTGAAATTACCTTGGGATCGTTTAATCGGCCAATTTCCGTAAATCACAGGTCTCTTTCTTTCCACTTTGAATTAGTAATATCTTATAATTGGACAGCTGTGGGCTGGTTGCAAGCTGTTCAAACAAGTGCATTATTTGTCAGTATTTGTTAATTCTTGAAACTGATCCAGGCTCTGAGACATGGGGTGAATTCGGAATCGCATTCTACTCCTACTATTTCTGTCATAGAAAGATATTGTAAAAGTAGTACCAGTAGTATACTAGAATGCGGTTCCGAATTCAGCAATTGTTTAAATATGTCAGATACAACAGCTTCATACCGCAAATTCTTCTTATATCAATTCAGAGGCAGGGGTTATTGTTCTGATATTAGTCACTAAAAACTCAGTATGTTTTAGAAGAAAATACTATTTCAGTCTGTCTACTGTTAATTCAGTGTGTTACTTGCTGTTTCTTTGTAAAAAATTGTCAAATTTACTTTACTAAAAATGTCTTCAAAGCAAATAGAATAGTATCTAAATAATTTAATTTTCAGTATACGTATTTTAGTTATTTTTAAAGATTTTAAGTTGATTAATGTGTCTTTAATTTTTCTTTTCTTAATTGCAAAATAGATATTTCTTGTTTTATGCTTAAATGTAGCAACATTTTGAGAGGTTTATGTTTAAAACAATAACTTAACTGCTTCTTAAATTATTCAAACATATTTTTTATTCTATTACTGTTTATACACAGGCTTAAGTACGCAGCCTGTTTTTAAGTGTATTTTCTTCATTGAATTGACAATCTTCAGGGGGACAAATTAACTTCTGCTTGAGTGTGAATGTCAGATGTTTTCATTCAGATTCGCAGGTGTTGAAGTGGCATTAATCAAACTGGCGTTCTCGAGAGGCTGTTGGCTTCAGCTCTGACTCACAGTGGCGGTTTCTATCCTTCTTTGCATCTTCTCTTTTGTTAGCTCCTCCTGCAGTCTGTCTGTGGGCCACTTGACTTATGCAATGTCAGATTGCATAACTGCAGCATAGCGCATTTTGCCATACATTCTTAGTGCAGGAATGGGACCTCGAATAATAAAATGGCTTATCCCCTGAATTGTCAGCTTCATTAAATTATTCAGGCAATGCAATGGGTACGGACAGGCTCTCCACCACTGGAGCAGAGAATTGACGCTTGAGAAATGAGAAATCCTTTTTGTTTGCCTATATCTCTGTGTTTTTAATGAAATCAGAGGGCTAAGTCTCCTTTCATTATGTTTACCATTCCTTGCGGCACGGATGGACCGGTTTCTGTTGAGTCATCTGGAACTTTGAAGCAAGAGTTTTATTTTTTATTTTTTTTATGCCTAAACCTACGCTTCCATCTGATATTTTCTATGTGGCAGGAATAAAGTAAACAATTTTAACAGACACTTTTGCACTCATACAAATGAGTTTCATACTTTTACCTCTGAGAGAAACTAGAAAAGTAAATTTCTAGTAAAAGGTGAAAGCTGTCCTGCCATGTGACAATATTTAACATAATATATTGCAATTATCTATGTTTATATATATATAAATATACATATTTGCTTAAAAATATAAGAAAGTCTATTTCCAAAAATGTTGTCCTTTGAAGTAACAACAAAAAAAAAGATTATTTCAGGGCATAAAACCAGGCCACTTTTCATGTTTGTTGGCTGAAATAAATGAGCATTTTATTTCCTGCATTAATTAGATTAAATAAATTGATAATATTTATAACCCTAAACCTAATGTTCATTTATTCAATCCTTCCCTACACTATTACTGATGAAATCCACTTACTGACAGGTAGCACATCACCTTTCACATTATTGGGTACAATTCAATAATCAATAATCAAGAGATCTGAGAGTATATGTCATATTATGTTGACCGTTGCAAATCTACAACTGTCTATGCTGGCAATGCATGTGCATGTTAAATGGAGTAAGTCGTTTCATTCCGTTTCCATCAAAGAGGATTCAGAAACATCTCATCACACTCATTTCATCTTGACTTTCTCTTTCTCCATCAGGGTTTCTGTTGGCGTAGCCATCAAGCATGAAGTGGAATTTGTTAAAGAAGAAACCTGCGGCCATGGTTGGCCCCGAGCCCACCGGTGCCAGTGTCCTGACAATGGCCCCAGTTGTTTCTACACCTGCAGACAACTCCACCGAGAATCAGGGCCCAGTCAGCAAGAATGATGTCTTTGGTGACATCAAAAACAAGTTCCTCAATGAGATGGACAAGCTTCCACGTGAGTATATGACTATATGGGTCAGATTTACTAACAGCTTGCGCCAGCACAAACCCTCTTTCGGCGTTAAAAAACTACTGTCAGGATTTACTAAAGACACGCAGTGAAAAATTTGCGCTGAAATGGCGTGGACACAGTAATTTTTGCGGGCTGACATTATTGCATATGCATTTGTAGGAGTTTCCCTTTCAGATGCAAAATTTTTGGGAGGAGAGTTTTTAAATGAATCACACAAAGGGATTTACTAAGTTTTGCGCTCGTCAATTTACAGGTATTTGAAGCATTATTTACCACCCAAAAAACATGTCTTAAACCAGACGCTAACTGTAGATTGTGTTGGTCATTATGGAAATGTGTCCTTTAATGTGTCTCACGCTAATTTGCCCTTTTTAGTAAATCTGGCCCTAGATGTGGTGCAGTGTGATTTTATGCATTTCAAAATTCCTGATCAGATACTGACATTTCTGACTCAAGCTCCAAACTCAGCTCAGAGCTCCTGACTCTGTTTTTTAGTGTGTTGCATCTTTTCTAACTAAATGTGATGTGATCTGGGAAAACCCACCACATGGAATATCAAGCCCTTTCCAAATCTGTTTTTATTTTTTTCATAGCTTGTTGGTAGCAAAAGTTATGTTTATCTGAAGTTGGCTTTGATTTTCAGGAACGGAATTTTGAGGAAAACAGGTTTAATTAACTGGCACTCTTTTTTTATTGCCTTTTTTCATATCACATATTTTAATCATCATAAATTAGGTATCATTTGAAAGCTTACAAACTCAAAAATTCATCCTGTGAGTTCATTATGACATCATTTAGGGCACTGTCATCCCCAGGAATTAGCAGATTGAGGCGAGCAAGATCATTTAAGTGAGCAGCTATTTCAGACTCTGTTGTTCTCTTGTTCTCCTCCATCTCGAGATAACGTTATAAAACTGCGTGTCGTTACAGTTTAAACAGGATTGTCGCGAAATGCGCACTGATACACCTTCGCTGTACATGATACTGTATGTGGTTTATTTTGATAGGTAGTGTTAAGAGACGGACAGGTATGGGCGATCAGTGGCGGATTTAGCAAATTGGGGGCCCAAGGCGAAGGTAGTATGGGGCCCCCCATCCGATCTTTAAAAGAGAACGAAAAAAAATGTTTTTTCAGAATTTAAAAAAATAAAATTTAAATGGCACTTTCTGGAGAGTTTTGTGCAAAGAAATATAGAAAAAAAGTAGGTCTAGCAAGTCTTATATTTCTGTAATTCACACAGATCAAACACAAATATACTGACTGAATAGATTGCTAGTTGAGAAACACTGCTTTAATTAATGTTTTTATGATGACTTTGTGAAAGGTTAACTAAACAGCATGAGCCGTCTTCCTGCTGGCTAGTAAGTTATTTGGCAAATTTCATTCATACAGATCTGTATTATGCTATAGTTTCTGATAGTGTTATTATACATTTCTTACAGATAATCACGATGATCATTGCGTTTGTCTTACCGAATGTGGTAGCTTAAATGCAATTACAGTTTGTCTATAAGCTTTTTTTTTATTAATGCCGACAGTAAAATGTTGCCAGATATTGCTACGAAAAACAAGAAAAAAAAAATAATAATAATCCGAAATAATTCGGATTATTATCTTTTGGAAATAAGATTAATATATCATTAACCCTAACATGCAACTTTCCACTTTAATAACTTCCTAAAGTGTCACATTAAATCAGAAAAACAGGTCCAGAAGACTACTGCCACCTTTCCATTAGGTGGATCTGGCAACACTGGATCTGGCACCCGCGCGCGCCCTCACTCACAACGCGCTCTCAAGCCCCGTTCACTGCGCTAGCTTCTCGCAGCAACATGAATTGCAAACACTCATATGAGGTGGTTTAAACGGCTAATTAATCATTCAGAGAGCTTGACATTTTATTTTTGAATGTAAAAAATGACAGAGTTCCGGACCTCGGCCACCTCATAGCTGGCTACGACCATGGACTTGTAACATATCGTTAGCACATACCGGGTATCACAAAAAAGTTTGTTACCTTCTGCAATTTTGCTAAAAACGTTTTGCTTTCCTCCCGCTTCCTGCTTTTTCAGCACCGCTTGAGTAGCTTATCTGTCTGTCACTCTGTAGCCTACACTGTCTGTCAATCACTTCTTTTTCTCCGTCAGTTTTTTGGCGCATTACAGCCTTGTCACTTACACTCAGAAAGTGAGATAATGGAATAGTCCAATGTAGTGAGGTGGAGGGCCCTCTCCTGTCTGCGACACTAATGATTTGATGCCTTTTTTCGCAAATGTTTTTTTAGAAATATATAATTTGCGAAAAGTAAAAAAACAAACAAAACTTAAGTAGAATTTAATGGGGCATTTTGGGGGCCCCTAGGTAGCTCGGGGCCCAAGGCAATTGCCGACCTTTGCCTAATGGTTAAGTCCGCCCCTGTGGTCGATTGTTTGCACCTTCGCCGGGCGTGAGGGAAATGGTCGCATTAGAGAAAGAAAGTACTTTCAGCTTCCCACTATAAATCGCTATTTTTCTCCACTAAACAAGGGAATTTTGCCAATATATTTTCAGAGATAAGAGACAAGATGTTATAGAATAATAATTTACTGGAAAAAAAATTTGGACAAAAGACTGACATTCAAACTATTTTCTGATCTTCCTGAAAACGTCTCAGGTTACTACTGTAACCATAGTTCCCTGAGAAAGGGAACGAGACGATGCGTCACTTGACGCTTTGGGAACGCCCCCAGCGTGCATGCGTCTGAGCATCAATGTCAACTAGTCCAATGGAAAGAATGAGCGTCACGGGCGGGTGACGTCATGACCAGGAAGGGATAAAGGCTCACCTGGTGAAACGCGGCATTAGCTTCAAAAAGTCGAAGCAAGCCGATCACAGGGAAGCAGGAAGTATGGCAGGGTGACGCATCGTCTCGTTCCCTTTCTCAGGGAACTATGGTTACAGTAGTAACCTGAGACGTTCCCTTTCGAGGGAACTCGCGATGCGTCACTTGACGCTTTGGGAACGAGAATACCCAAAACGCCAGAATTCCAAGTACCTGAGTGTCAGTCTGTTGGAACTAAGCACTAAGCACCTGAGAACCTGGGGCAGCATCCAGGTCCAAACTGTAAAACCTGACGAATGTGAGCGGTGAGGACCAGCCTGCCGCATCACAAACGTCTTGGAGGGAAACCCCAAATAACAAGGCTTTAGAGGCCGCCATACCCCTCGTTGAGTGAGCTCTGACCACCAAGGGACACGGATGGTCAGAGTACTCGTATGCAAGTGAAATAGCCTCGACTATCCACTTGCTAACCGTCTGTTTAGAAGCAGGAAGACCCTTCTTAGGTGATCCAAAGCAAATAAATAACTGGTCGGACTTCCTCATAGAAGATGTCCGATGAACATAAGTATCCAGTGCTCGCACTGGACACAAGAGGTTCAGCCTTTCCTGGTCCGCAGATGTAAAAGGAGGAGGACAGAAAGCCTGCAGCACGATAGGCCTCGGAATCAAGGTCGGCACCTTAGGGACGTATCCCTGTTTTGGATATAAGAATGCCTTGACCATCCCCGGTGCAAACTCAAGGCAAGTGGGGGAAACCGAAAGGGCCTGAAGGTCTCCAACTCTCTTAAGGGACGAAATAGCTAGCAGAAAGATAGTCTTAAGGGTAAGAAATTTCTCTGAAACCGAATCTAAGGGCTCGAATGGAGCCCTAGACAGGCCTTCTAGTACTATTGCCAAATCCCAAGCTGGCACCCTAGTGCGAGTTGCAGGCCTCAGCCTCAATGTGCCACGAAGGAAACGTGTAATCAGGGGGTCTCGACCCAACGATGTACCCCCAACCAGGGCGTGGTAAGCCGCAATGGCCGCCACGTAAACCTTAAGTGTGGAAGGACATAAACCTGACGTAAAGCGCTCCTGCAAGAACTCGAGTACTGTGTTCACAGAACAGTTAACCGGATCCCACTGATGTCGGTGACACCATACAGAAAAAACTTTCCATTTCAGCGCATATAGTTTCCTAGTAGCTGGAGCTCTGGAGCTTAGGATGGTCTCAGCAGCCTCAGCTGAGAGACCACTCTCTATGAGTTGGGCCCCCTCAGAGGCCAAACCCACAGGTTCCAAATCTCTGGTCGAGGGTGAAATATTGTGCCCCCGGCCTGAGACAGAAGGTCTCTCCTGATCGGGATCTCCAAGGGAGGACCGTCTAAGAGATGGATCAGGTCCGCAAACCAGATCCGACTCGGCCAGCGTGGTGCTACAAGCAGTAGGCTTATTCCGTACTGGCGGACTCGTTCCAGAACTCCTGGGAGCAGAGCAACAGGGGGAAATGCGTACAGACGTAGCCTCGGCCACGTCTGCACCATAGCATCCAGCCCCAGGGGGGCTGGGTGAGTAAGGGAGAACCAAAGTGGACAGTGCGTCGTGTGCTGAGACGCAAACAGATCCACCTCTGCTTGGCCGTAAAACTCCCAAATTTTCTCCACCGCCTTCTCGGGGTGGAGTCTCCAGTCCCCTGGCCTCAGCTCCTGCCTCGACAGGATGTCTGCCCCCACATTCTGGTCCCCAGGAATATACACTGCCCTCAGGGAGAGTACCTTCCCCAGAGACCACAGGAGGATCTGGTGCGCCAGTTTGCAGAGCGGACGCGACCGCAGACCCCCCTGACGGTTCAGATAAGAGACCACTGATGTGTTGTCTGTTCGTACAAGCACATGATGGCCCCTCAGGTCTGGGAGAAACTGTCTCAACGCATTGAAGACAGCCATCATCTCCAGGCAATTGATGTGCCACGAAAGATGATGACTTTTCCACAGACCCTGAACCGAGCGGCCTTCCATTACCGCTCCCCAGCCGGTGAGGGAAGCATCTGTCGAGATCGTAACACGATGGCAAAGAGCTCCCAATACCGGACCCTGGGTTAAGAACCAATGTTTCCTCCATATAATTAAGGCACGAAGGCACCGCCGCGTGACCTTGATCATACGAAGTGGGTTTCCCCTCGGGGAGAACCCTCTGGTCCTTAGCCACCACTGTAAAGGTCTCATGTACAGCAGGCCAAAAGGAATCACGTTGGACGCTGCCGCCAAGAGACCCAACAGTCTCTCGAACTGTTTCACAGTGCGTGACTGGCCTAGCTTTAGCTCTTTGGTGGCTGTCAGGATAGCAGCTACACGAACGGGCGATAGAGTGGCCCGCATCGTCACTGAATCCCATACCACACCAAGGAAAGTGGTTCTCTGTACTGGAGAAAGAACACTCTTCTTGGCGTTGAGCCTCAACCCCAACATCTGCATATGGGCGAGAACGACACCTCGGTGCCGAACCGCCAACTGCTCTGATTCCGCCAGAATCAGCCAGTCGTCGATGTAGTTCAGAATACGTATGCCCTGAAGCCTGAGAGGGGCTAGAGCTGCATCCACGCATTTCGTGAACGTGCGGGGTGATAAAGCTAGACCGAAAGGAAGAACCCGATATTGGTATTCTTTGCCCCCGAAAGAAAACCTTAGGAACTTCCTGTGCTGAGGGAGGATGGAGATATGGAAGTAGGCGTCCTTCAGATCTATCGTGACAAACCAGTCCTCGGACCTGATTTGAGTCACGATCTGTTTGAGTGTCAGCATCTTGAACTTGAGTTTCTGTACTGAACGATTCAACAGACGAAGATCTAAAATGGGACGCAACCCCCCATCCTTTTTTGGAACAATGAAATAACGGCTGTAAAAACCCGACTCTCTGTCGGGTGAGTACACCTGTTCTATAGCTTCCTTTGCTAACAGGGCCTTTACCTCTTGCTCCATTACCAGAGCCTGCTCGGGATGCACCACTGTGGGCAGCACCCCGTTGTAACGAGGAGGACGAGAACCAAACTGGATTCTGTATCCTTTCTCTACAATCTGCAGGACCCAATGAGAAATATTCGGCAGAAGCTTCCACGCTGCCAGAAAATTTACTAAGGGAACCAGCCTCTCGAGGCTGGTCTCTGGTGTTATCGAGACAGCCAATTCCGGAGCCTGAAACATAATGGCAGGAACTACCTGAACTGGCCGCTCTAAGGCCCCCCTCAGAGGGCGCGAAACCGATGCTGTGCCGCAGCATAGCATCAGCGACTCGCTGGAGACCGCTGCGCCCTGAAGCACCAAGGGTGGCAGGGTTGGCAGAACGGTCTCGTGAGGACCCCGAAATGGAACGGGCACCGTATAATGAGGTGTACACCGCTCCACTTCGGTCGGGGCTGTCCTCACAGGCCTGATGCATGAACATCAGGACCTTTTTTTTTTTTGAACCGAAGTCTTCTTCGCCTGAAGAACGGTCCTCAGATCCGGCTTCGACTTAGAAGACTTCGGTTGAGAGGGTTGCGTCCGTCTCCAGTCTCTACGTGGAGGTGCACGAGACGCAACACTCTCTTTCTGATGCACACGATATGATGAGCTCGACGGCTGGGGCTGCTCACGCCCAGCAGTCCCAGGGGGCTGGACCCGGCGAGGGATAAACTTTTTAAAAACGTCCGCTTGTTTCTTTGACTCCTGAAATCTCTCGACGACCGCGTGGACTGCGTCGCCGAAGAGACCAGAAGGTTCAAGCGGAGCATCTAATAAAAAAGCTCGATCTTTTTCTTTAATTTCAGACAGATTTAACCACAAATGTCTCTCAGTAGCTACCAAGGCTGCCATAGACCGCTCAATTGCTCTGGCGGTCTCCTTAGTAGCCCTGAGAGAAAGATCGGTAGCCCGACGAAGTTCACGAATATCGTCATGACTGACTCCCTCACTACTATCCAGATCCCCCAGCAGGTCAGCTTGATAAGCCTGGAGCACTGCCATAGTATGCAGACATGCTCCAGCTTGACCTGCTGCCGTATAAGCTTTGCCCACTAACACCGAAGTGGCTTTAAGCGGTCTAGTGGGCAAAGCCGAGGCTTTCAGAGACGATGCGGGACCAGGGGAAAGATAACTGGCTAAATTCTCTTCCGCCTGGGGCATCGCCTCATAACCATACTCTTTCAGCCCTCTTATTCTCGAATAAGTGTTAACATGAGGGCTGAAAAGACGTGATGAGTATGGTTTATTCCACGATTTAGAAATTTCATTGTGCAAATCGGGAAAAAATGGAAGCCCTCGTGGTGGAGATAATGTGGTGGAAGATAAAAAGCGCTCATCTAATTTGCTTTTAGGACGAGCGCCCTTCTTCTCAGATGGCCATTCAATATTTAAATTTCTCTACAGCCCGCGACATAACATCCACCAGCTCATCATATGCTGGGGAAATAAATTGTGAATCTCTTTCCCCCATGTGTGTGCTTACACTCTCCACACTCATCGCATCAACCTCCTCGGAGGAAGAGCAATAAAGTAATGGAGGGCTCTCTCCCCGGGCGAAAGAAACCGCAGAGCGTGCTTCCGACACCGGGGAGAGAGCACTGGATCTCTCGGGTAAAGAAGGAGAAAGAGCCCTCGGACCCGTCACCAACCCCTCCGAAAGATCCTTTTGCGATCCCCAGGAATGCATTCTCCGCGCTGCCTCAGCAGACGCGGGTCCTGATCCCTGTGGATCGCGAGCCTGCCCACTCTCTTTATCAAAGAGTGACAGGCGAGAGCGGAGCATGCGAAGCGGTAACATCTCACAATGCTGGCACTCAGCCCCCTCGAAGGCTGAGACCGCATGCTCCACTCCCAAACAAACGACACAAAGCTCGTGTGTGTCCCCACCCGTTAAATAACGCGGGCAGGGAGAAGCACACTGTTTGTACACTTGTTTAGTTTCCATCCTTTTCCGCAACAGACAACAGTAAATAGACAGAGACAAAATGACACAGATCGCTTGCTGAGACGCAGAAGCTAATGCCGCGTTTCACCGGGTGAGCCTTTATCCCTTCCTGGTCATGACGTCACCCGCCCGTGACGCTCATTCTTTCCATTGGACTAGTTGACATTGATGCTCAGACGCATGCACGCTGGGGGCGTTCCCAAAGCGTCAAGTGACGCATCGCGAGTTCCCTCGAAAGGGAACGCCCCAGCGCGACATCTGACGGGTTTTCCCAGATCGCATCACAAATGGACCGTGTCAGACAGTACTGTACTGCCTAGATTTAGCAACTGCATAGCAACCACTCAGAACACAGTAGCAATATTAGCAACCATAGAAACATCCTATAAACCATCTAGCAATGCCGTAGAAAGTGGCCACAACACCCTAGAAACCACCCAGAGCTACCTAGCAACTGCAGAGCAACCACTCAGAACACCCTAGCAATGCCCTAGTAACCATGGAACAACTTCGAAACCACAGAGCAACACCCTAGAAAACAACCACAACACTCTAGCCGCCACCAGCCAATGGACTAGAAACCATCTGGAACAACATATCAACACCCTGGTAATGGCCTAGCAACCACCTAACAACACTCTAGTGACCACTCGGAAGATCCTAGTGAAACCCTAGCTGCCACTAAGTACATCCGTGCAATGCCCTAATAAACAAACACAACACCCTTGCTGCAATCTAGCAATAGAAACTATTTTTACAGAAACTGCCCCAGACTAAAGATATTAATGTCCACTCTTGTAGACATTCATTTAAGGCATTAGTCAACTATTCACACGTTTATATTAATTTAATTACTTCAATATATACTGGAGGGAATACTAAACCTTAATGAACCTTTAATATATATATATATATATATATATATATATATATATATATATATATATATTAGACATATTGTAGTCTATTCCAAGCTCAAGCACGCATAAAGCTTGCCGCAAAGCACTGGCAAAAGGTTGTGAATGTGTCCGAATAAAATAGCAAGGAGACATTTTATTTATTAATAATCTAGTGTTTTCTGAGTAAGTGTCAGATGCAAACGTGAAGTTGACTATGCTGACCCCTTACAAAAATTGCCCATGGTTTTACTACACATAAAACCAACAAAAAAAACATGGTTAAACCATGGTAAATGCACCTTTCATACAAATGACATAATCAGAGAGTGTTTTTAATTCTACTTGGTTTGTTGGAAAGTAGACATTTCAAGCTTTCTATAGATGTATTTCCTCATGTCTGTGAAGCAAGTAGCCTATACTCTGAGTTTCGGTTCAGTTTTGAGATATGCTCCATTCCACAGTAAAAGTATATATATATATTTTAATTCGGATAACGAATTACTCTTATCTTTACGACCAAAAATGCCAAAGTATATAAAGTTGTTTCCGCTGTTGTCAGGAATGAATAGAGGCGCCAGAGCGATCACTTACACGTCATGCTGTAATCGCGCTAATACTTTAGCTTCCACACTCCGAACAAACACTTGGATGTGCGCCTAATAGTAGCGCACATTTATCTAGGTTAACGTTAGAGCGAGTGACCAAGTAAAGTTGCAACTACTTGCATGTTTCAATAATAAGCCATATTTGAGGTCGGTGAATTATAGGCGAACGTTTGGATTTCCTGCCCGGCATATTGTAATTACCTCAAGGACTCGCCATTAACGATCTGTCCCTCACGGACTGCGTGACTTCGCCACTTCCTGTGGAGTTTTTATTGTTGTTGTTGTTGTTCTGCGACTAAACAACTAATACAATTTTGGTCGATTAAGCCACTTCTCATCGACTAATGTTTAGTCGACTATTAGGGGGCAGCCCTACTAGAAATCCAGAACTGTATAGCAACCACTCATAATACCCTAGCAATGCCCTAGCAACCATCTAGAACATCCTATCAACCACCTAACAATGCCCTAGTGATCTCCAAGAGTAAACATGAGTAGTAGCAACTGCTTAGCTTCAGTGGGAAACCAGTCTCGGGCAACAGGGTGATTGCTGCTGGCAAGTTAAGTCATGGTCCTGTTCTGTATTGATTAAGGGCTTTTATGGCCCTGATAAATCTAGATTTGTATTTACAGCCCCTTATTCTCTGTCTTTCTCTCACTTTTAGTGCCTCCCTGGGCCATCATCGCCATCGCCATCGTAGCTGTGGTCCTCATTCTCACCTGCTGTTTCTGCATCGTTAAAAAGACCTGCCTTAAGAAGAAAAAAAACAAGAAGGGAAAGAAAGGGAAGGGAGAGATGGGCATGAAGAACATGAAGGGAGGAGAGGTACGACCACCCGACACCAGCTCTTCAGCCTTAAAGGGATTGTTCACCCCAAAATGAAAAACTCTATCATCAAACAGTACTCGCTCATTCTGATTAAGCCTTTCTCATTACATAAAATGAGATGTCACACAAAAAGTCCAAGTACTTTAGTTCTTTTAGAGACAATAAAGAGGGTCATTCATAATGCCAAGCACCAAAATGATATGGAAAACAATGTTATTTTGAGATCACTGAGATACTATTATTATTTTATTAAGATTTTGAATTAGGTTTTATTTCAGATTTTAAGTAATTTAGTAAAAGTTTTTAGTTATTTTGTTGTATGTTTATGGTATTTTTATAGTTTTTCAATATGTCTATATAGTTGTTTTTTTAATGATTATTTTAATTGTTTAGATTTAGTTATTTTTCCACATCAACTTGGCAATTAGTTTACCTAAGTGTTTAAAGTTTTATTTTGTTAATGAAACTAAAGTGTTTTTTTGTCTGTGTGTGTGTGTGTGTGTGTGTGGTATTTACATTTAGTTAACTATAATAACCTTTTAAGAAAATAACATAAAGTATCATACATTTAGATGAAAACAGCTTACACCGTTAATCACACCAACCTGGTGCTTTTCTGTCCTTTCGGAGCTAGGCAGTAAAAATCCAACCCGATCTCACGGCAATTCGTTCGTATTTTACGAGGTGGCTAATTTTTACGACCTCACTCGTACGAATTCTTGTACTTATTTTACGAGTTGCCCAATTCATATGAATTTGTATGAATGACCTAGCCCTGACCCCGCCCCTAAACCTACCTGTCACTGGGGTTTAAAAAAATTAGCAACCTCGTAAAATACGTACGAATTGTTCGTGAGATAGCGTTGAAAAATCACCATTCACTCATTGAATGGTAAAGCGGCTGCTTGAACATTCTGCTAAACATCTCCTTTTATGTTTCACAAAAGAAAAGAAAATGTGAGAGTGGCATGACAGTGAGTAAATGATAACTAAAATTAAAATTTGGGGTGAACTATTCCTTTAAAACTCAAGTCACGGCTGTGTTGAAAGAGACAGAAAGATTAACGTTTTTCCACTGCCTAATTTCCGACTGTCGCTAATGAGTTTAATAGGGTTCGAGACATATCTAATCTGAATCTTTCCCTTGTTTATGGCTTTTAAAGCTTTTGGTCGTGCAATATATTTGAAAGACTCAGCGTTCTCAAAACACCAAAGCTTGATTTAAAAACGTCTGTGTTACTACCTCACATATCCTTAATATAGCTTCTAGGTCAAGCAAATGGATGGTTGGTATTCTGGAAAGATTTTTTATCCATTTAATATTCATGGAATATAAAATATTCAGTGTTGTACGTCATTTGCTGCCTGTAAAGCAGGAAAGCTACATGAAAGATTTCCCGCCACATCAATTCATTTGCCGTGTTCGTATAATTTGGTTTCCAGAAGAATGTATGTGCTGTTAATCTCTTGTGCTTTTGTGTTAAAAATGACACATTTTCCAGCGAATGCACAGCAGCACTAAATCTTTCTCTTTTTTTAATCTCTGTTTTGGAAATAAAATAGCTGAAGCTAAACCGTTTTTCTATATTTGCCGTGTTGTGTCAGATCCCGCTGTGTGCTGTATGTTTGCTATTGTGACAAGCTAATTTTCCTTTGAGAATCATTAAAGTTCTCCCTGTCATATCCTAATATATAATTTTCTTTATAAATAATCTTTAAAAAAAAATCGTTGTTGTGCTAAAACTCCATCAAATTAGGCTTATTATTTATGGGAGACCAGGGGCTATTGTAACTTATTTTTTTATGCATATCTGTCCGCTAGCTTTTTGTAAATATAAGTAGTTTATATACCCATTTATATGTCGCAAAAGTAACTCTTAAATAGATGTATAATGAGAATGACAAATCTATGAAGTTAAATTAAATAAATAGTATCTCAAATGATACACTCTCTCAAATAAGAGCACACTTCAAAATAATTTGATTGCTTTAATACCTATTAATATTATTTAATATTTTTCACCTTTATATATTGTTCATTTGTTTAACTGTTTGTAATTAAGTGCATTTTAAGAAATCTTAGTTTTACCTACTTAATAATTATCTGAAATAATCAAAACAAGTCTTCATTTTGATACTATGATTACAAAAATTATGCATTTTAAATATTTAATTTTCATTTCAACCATTTTATTATTTGTATTATTGACTGTGTTGATAAAAGGTCATGATAAAATCCTATATGGTACCAGCAAACATTCACCAACAACCTAAAGATAAACTGAATATCAGTTTATAATGTGTCACCAATCTGGCTATTTATGCATTATTTTGGACATTTACTGTATTACACTTGCCCTGTACAGTAAAATGCCTCTATGTGGTTTGCTTCTCAAATTTCATTGGTTTAATTTGTTATATGCAATGTTTAACGTATTATGCAATAACATAATGTGTCTATTTAAAGTAAAATGTGTCATTTTTGATACATGCCATTGAGTGTTACTTGATTTCCTCTACTTGATTCTGTCTTCTGTGAGTTCAATCTCTTCCTCTCTCTCCATTTCTTCATCTCTCTCTATCCTCCCCGCTTTGTGTCTGATATGTGCTCCGTGTATCTTGACTGTCGTGGACCTGTCATCTTACGGTAGGTGTGACATGGCTTGCAGCGCCCCTCTCTGACCGCCTGGTGAAAGCTCAAACCAGGGCTGGGGAAATGAGCTATGACATATGGCTGGGAATGAAATATTTGGCTTCTTCTTGAGTTTTGCAAGCTGCAGGGGTGCTGAGGTTTGCTTGAGGACTAGTTTGGGGTTGGTTTGGGGAGGGCTCGCATTCCACCAGTTTGACATGCAACATGAACACTGGCGGTTTGGGGGGTTAAAGCCAAACGGGTAGAAGGAATGGCCCTTTAGAATTGTATGTGCATTTGGTTATGAACTTAAATTTCATCCTAGCTTATTAAGAGACACCAACACACCAATCCTCACTAACATGCATGTTGAAAGGGTACGGTTGGTGGTTTGTTCTCTAAAAGCTGCTCCACCCATTTAGCGTCACGATTTGGTCCCTTAAATGATCCCTAAGATAAGTTGTTATTTAACAATAGTACACATCTGCATAGTTTAAACCTTTCTTAAAGCAGTTAGCCTGTAAAAGAAAGCAGGAGAAATGTCCAGATGAGGTGAAGCAGCATTTGAGACAAAGCCCAATGCATGCCCTTCATACAGGCACCAGTGAATGACCATGACTTGACTTGAGAGTAACTTTCCTGGATGACCCATTGTGTAGAAACAATCAAAGAATCTGTTACTTTCTTCCTGAAATGTAGAGATAAGCCGTGGGATGAAGTAGGTGGCGTGGGAAACGGCCTTTCACCAGGAGACCTATTGCAATGGTTTCGTTTGTTTTATATTACTTTTGTATATACATGTGTGTGTGTGTGTGTGTGTGTGTGTGTCGGTGCGCGCGCGTACGTTTATTGCACTTTAGTTTGAAATACCGTTAAAGGTGATGTGTGTATCTTCATTTTTAAAATACTTTCTCCTATCCCAGCGCTTAAAGGTGCAGTAAGTTATGAGAAACACTATTGATATTTGAAATCAACCCAAACAATCAACGCCGTCCCTTCATTGCTCCGCCCACAAAATACAAAAACAACGATTAGCTCACTCTCTCCTCCCCCATCCCCCCACTGCTGATTGGCTCACTCTCTCCTCCCCCCTCATGAGTGGACACGCCCCCTACTGCTGACTGGCTCACTCTCTCCTCCCACATCATGAGTGAACACACCCCCTACTGCTGATTGGCTCACTCTCTCTCCTCCCACATAATGAGTGAACACGCCCCCTGCTGCTGATTGGCTCACTCTCTCCTCCCCCATCATGAATGGACACACCCCCTACTGCTGACTGGCTCACTCTCTCCTCCCCCCTCATGAGTGGACACGCCCCCTACTGCTGATTAGCTCACTCTCTCCTCCCCCATCATGAGTGGACACGCCCCTACTGCTGATTGGCTCACTCTCTCCTCCCCCCTCATGAGTGGACACGCCCCCTACTGCTGATTAGCTCACTCTCTCCTCCCCCACCATGAGTGGACACGCCCCCTATTGCTGATCGGCTCACTCTCTCTCCTCCTCCATCATGAATGGACACGCCCCCTACTGCTGATTAGCTCACTCTCTCCTCCCCCACCATGAGTGGACACGCCCCCTGCTGCTGATTGGCTCACTCTCTCCTCCCCCATCATGAATGGACACGCCCCCTACTGCTGACTGGCTCACTCTCTCCTCCCCCCTCATGAGTGGACACGCCCCCTACTGCTGATTAGCTCACTCTCTCCTCCCCCATCATGAGTGGACACGCCCCTACTGCTGATTGGCTCACTCTCTCCTCCCCCCTCATGAGTGGACACGCCCCCTACTGCTGATTAGCTCACTCTCTCCTCCCCCACCATGAGTGGACACGCCCCCTGCTGCTGATTGGCTCACTCTCTCCTCCCCCATCATGAATGGACACGCCCCCTACTGCTGACTGGCTCACTCTCTCCTCCCCCCTCATGAGTGGACACGCCCCCTACTGCTGATTAGCTCACTCTCTCCTCCCCCATCATGAGTGGACACGCCCCTACTGCTGATTGGCTCACTCTCTCCTCCCCCCTCATGAGTGGACACGCCCCCTACTGCTGATTAGCTCACTCTCTCCTCCCCCACCATGAGTGAACACACCCCCTACTGCTGATTGGCTCACTCTCTCCTCCCACATCATGAGTGAACACGCCCCCTACTGCTGATTGGCTCACTATCTCCTCCCACATCATGAGTGAACACGCCCCCTACTGCTGATTGGCTCACTCTCTCTCCTCCCACATCATGAGTGAACACGCCCCCTACTGCTGATTGGCTCACTCTCTCCCCCCACATTATGAGTGAACACGCCCCCTACTGTTGATTAGCTCACTCTCTCTCCTTCCACATCATGAGTGAACACACCCCCTACTGCTGATTGGCTCACTCTCTCCTCCCACATCATGAGTGAACACGCCCCCTACTGCTGATTGGCTCACTACCTCCTCCCACATCATGAGTGAACACCCCCCCTACTGCTGATTGGCTCACTCTCTCTCCTCCCACATCATGAGTGAACACGCCCCCTACTGCTGATTGGCTCACTCTCTCTCCTCCCCCATCATGAATGGACACGCCCCCTACTGCTGACTGGCTCACTCTCTCCTTCCCCATCATGAATGGACACGCCCCCTACTGCTGACTGGCTCACTCTCTCCTCCCACATCATGAGTGAACACACCCCCTACTGCTGATTGGCTCACTCTCTCTCCTCACACATAATGAGTGAACACGCCCCCTGCTGCTGATTAGCTCACTCTCTCTCCTCCCCCATCATGAGTGAACACGCCCTCTACTGCTGATTGGCTCACTCTCTCCTCCCACATCATGAGTGAACACGCCCCCTACTGCTTTTTGAAAACAATCATTATCTTTGCAGTTCCACTAAGGTAGTGGCGCCGAAATTACACACTTCACATTTGATATCTCACTGCCCCAATAACTTTAATTTATTATGTAAAAACCTTTTTAAAAGGTCTTCATGATTAATAATTTGACCTAACACGCATACATTTTCTTGGTTGTTCACAAATAAAGCACATCATACACTTTGGGCACATAACAGGCCAGTATTTATTGTTGGGGTAGGAAAGAAGCTGAAATTATGAACTTAAATCATAATGCAATATGGTTAATCATTTCGTGCTGATTTGATCACTGGGCTGTTGGTGCAAATAATCGTTTATTGTGAGTGATTGATTTCTCCTTCACCGTTTCTTATTCCATCTGCCACCTTTACTAAGATGAATGTGCCGTAACTTAGCATGACTGCTTCTGAATGCTCAATGCAAGTTACGTAAGAGAACCACCGCACACTTCATATTAAGAAAACTGCATTAGTCTGTTACATCATTAATCATCCTCCAGATTTAATGCCAGCATCGCAATGATTTTATTCACTATGGCTTGAACAATTATGCAATCAATACGGAGCATTTTCAGACTGTGCATTTTGTGTCTTGGCATGCATGAATGCATTTTACCATGTCAGTTAGAATATAAGAAATGGTGCTTTTTTATGTACGTGTGTGTTAGAGAGAGTGTCTCTGTGTGTGTTTTTGAATTTGTGTGTGTATGTATATTTGGGGTGAGTGGTCAGGAAGGACAAATCCTCACCCCAAGCATATTTTGTTCTATTTAGAGACATTCTGATTCAACTCTTTTCGTTCGTCTTGTATTCTTGTATTTATTTTATTTTCTTGTTTTTCCCAAAGCTGAACCAGACATCTCCATCTATGTAAGCTAATATTTGCTGTTTCACTAGCATTGCGTTTGAGGCTTCATAAATTCTTCACCGTGCATAACACATGCTTGATCTCATGAACAGTCACAGTGGGGACCCGGTTTAAACTTGCTTGGAGTCACTGCTAACCCCAAAAGCAGTGTTAGTCATGTAACAGGGTTATGTAGCACATTAACTCTTTCTCTTTCAGAGGACACAAATGCTAGACTAGCAGACTGAGACTTTTGGTTATCAGCATAAAGTCTGCTCTACTTTACTGCTTACAGGGAACAAGTTATGAACAAACGTTCTTCAAGTAACATTTATAGAACATTCTTTCAAAGTTACCTGGTCTTTAATATTGTTCTTAAAACGTTAACAGAAAAACATACATTAGTCATGGCACGATTTAGTTGGACGTTTGTCTAACATGTTGCTTCTCGTTTCAAAATGTCAAAAGATAAAATGGAATGTTCCCTTAAAGGGATAGTTCACCCAAAAATAAAAATTGTGTCATCATTTACAAACCTGAATGAATTTCTGGTAACACTTTATTATACAGTGTCATTGTTACATAGGTTACTGTACATGTAGTTACTAAAGTAATAACTATATATTGTGCATAATTACATGCAACTAACCCTAAACCAAACCTTAATCCTACCCCTTTAGTAAGTACATGTAGTTACTTAATATTACTCGGTACTTAAATGTATAATTACAGTGTAACAAATAGGCTACACCTAAAAACACAAAAGAAGATATTTTGAAGAATGTTGCTAATCAAACAGTTCATGGTCCCCATTGACTTCCATAGTCCTTCCATTGAACGTTTATTCCACCAAAACGCTGATGCTTCAAAAAGTTCATATTATTGACTTATTGTACTTGATGTGCTCTTGTGTTGACCAAAGTTTATTAGTTTAAATTAAATTTCTTCATCTTATAAAGTGATTGTGTCTCTTTGGAAGATTTAAACGGCTTGATTCATATTGATTACTTTTACATTCTCTTTATGAGCCATTTAAAGCAAAGTTTTGGTGGAATGAACCTTCAATGGAGAGACAGAAATCTCTGAGATTTGTGTCTTGAAGATTATCGAACATTTTATGGGTTTGGAACAACATGAGGGTAAGTAAATGATGACAAAATTTCCATATTTTTGGGTGAACCCTTTAAATAAACCCTCGGTGATAGACCAAGATTTTAAAACCTCATTCAAATCTTAGCACTTTCACAAGCGATTATAAAGAAAACACAGGAGAAGTTAAAGTAAATGTGGATAGACCTTCAACACCATTTCTGTCCACTCAAATGTTATAAGACTGATTCCTAGAGAGTAAATTATATAGTTATGCATACAGTAATTTATTCTCTACTCAGTGCCTCAAACTAATCTTTGAATAAGATTTGATGCCACAAACCTCACATACTTTGGCAAATCCAGCGACAAATAACAGCGCCCACATTCCACATTATTGGAAGAATTTTAGTAGCAAAGAATGTTTCATAGACTCTCAAAGACAGTGGCCTTGACTTATCTGTAAAAGAATATATGGACATATTTCCACCAGAAAACATGTCATTATTTCTCCTTCCTGCAATTCATTTGATTTTTCTTCTTTTATGATTACACTACGAAGTTATGTTTAATTAAATCCAATCAAAATTGTGTTTGTGTATGTTCTATTGTGTAGATATAGCTCACAATAGACAGCCTTGTAAAGAAATGTTTCTTTAATATTCAATTACAGCACAGGGCACAAAAGTATTAATTACAACAGAACCATTACATGAAATTAAATCACCAACAGATTAAATGATGAAATAAGTTCATTAAGATTCACTTTGGCTTTTTTCCCATTGTCATTTTGAAGAGCAGCAGGGAGGAACCGTGAGAAATAATGATGTGTAAAATAACACTAATTCTGCTCTTGTACTGTGATCTTTAGTATCTGTCTGCCACAACGTTCCTTCCAAATTGTCCATCATTTTACATTGTATATGTGTCCTGATATGAGTATTGTTTTTAAAGCGCCAACACTTCCCTTCTGTATCCTCTGAATCTTTTCTTCAAGCGAGACTCAGGGTTTTATTATACCCTGCAGACTGAGAATCAATTTACGGACCGACTGCTTTAGGACTAGAATCCTTCATTCCCTCAACAAAAGTAATGTAGATTGTTGCAAATGGTGTCATGAAAGGAAAAGTGAAATCAAGTCATGTTGCTATGAAGGTCATCGCTGACACAGTTACATACAGTAACACACCCGGGTTGTTTGACACCCGGCAAACTTCAGGTAAGCGGAGAATTGGCCCAAAGAACCATGTTTGGGGAACTTCATTTACCTTCCATCACCTTTGTTCTAGTTTCTCCTGTAACGGCCATCTGTGCTTTTGTCTCTCCAGAAACAGGAAGATGATGATGATGAAGAAGATATAGACATGGGATTAACTGAAGAGAAAGAGGAGGAGCCTAAAGAGAAGGAGAAGCTTGGAAAACTGCAGTTCTCCCTAGACTATGACTTCTCAGACAACAAGGTAACTTGATCACTTCACTTTTTACAGTATGTTTAAAACAAACCAGCTTTAATATCTAAAGGGAAAGAGAAATGTGTAAAACTACCTTGTAACCAATCACGTCAACGCGTGATCGTCAACGAGTGGATCTCTGAGCTGTTGTGAGTGAGTGGAGGCGGGGATAATTTGCATATTCATAGAACCGCGTATACTAAATGAGGCAAGGGTGTAGAGTTACATTGAAGCTATTTTAAGGCATGAAGAAATGTTTTCAAGGAAAAACATTTAAATATGTAATTTTGATTATAAATGATAAATGTTTAATTTCAATTTTAATTGAAAGATGGGTTTTAAGGGATACAATTATTGACTGCAGGGGGACTTTAACAACCACTTTTGATGATGCACATGGAAATTTGGCTGATCTTTGATGCGATTGTGGACAGCAACGTTAATTCTGCACTAATTTGATCTAATATTTAATGTTTTTTAATATGTTGTAGATTTATGTAGCAAAGGAGAATCGATAAAATTATTGACTATATTTTGAGACAAATGTCTTGTTAATGATTTTCAGTTTTGTTCAAGGTAATTAAAGCAACAGTTTTTCAATAACAAAAGAATTTGTAAAAGTATGGTATTTGGGGTAAAAGTAAGGCACAATGATGAACATGATAAACAGCTGGCTGACTTTTCCATTTGTTGACATGACAGTTAGATTAAGATGACAAATATCATATATCAAATTGGGTGTCCATAGAGATAATCACCATATTTCTAATGAAACCATATTTAAAAAAAAAAAAAAATTATATTATCCATATATAATATAATAAAATATCATATTTTTGGACTACTGTAAAGCTTTATAAGATTATAATGGGATGTCCCTCAATGCTTTCAGAATCTTTACTTTAATTTTGATTCTATTTTTTTTTTAAATAAACATATTTTAATTACATATTTATTGAACAAAAATGAATTCTTTTATTTTTCAAAATAAACATAAAATAGTACAAACTTTGCTAAAATGATTGTTTTGAACAAGTATTAACTCAGTATCACAAGCGTTTGAAGGAAGTCAGACAAAGGCAGATGAATAAAGTTCCAAATGACTCTGTCTAGATTTATGTTAACACCATGTATACACCAATTTTTTGTATCATTGAGATACCATTATAGTTTTTATTAATATTTTTAATTAGTTTTTGTGATTTTGTGTGAAGAAGAAAAAATATGTTCATGAAATAATTTGTATTTCAGTTTTACTTATTTTTTAGTACATCAATATAAACTAAACTAAATCCTACAGAGGAAAAGCGGTTTGAAGAATGGATGGATGGATGGATGGATGGACGTTATAAATGAAAATGAGAAATTTTGCTTTGGCAGCTAGTGGAAATAAAATACTATTACTATTACTGCAATTTTTTTATTTATTTTTTATTTCAGTTACTTTTATTTCAGGAAAAGGATATGCTTTCTGGTTTTAGTGTTACTTAGCTTTCCGGTCACATTTACCTTTGTTTGGTGAATTTCAATGAGCGAAATCCAGTTATTTCGAATAGGAATAAACTCAATCTAGAATTTAGCAGATTTAGCAGCAAGTTCAAGTTGGTCACACTGATTCGCCATGTTGTCCAAGAGAAATCTGCTTGGTTTGAGAGTAACAATAGACAATGGACCTTTTTTTCCTGCAACATTTGACTGTTATTGGGACCACACCTTTAGATGATCTAAGATAAGATAGGAAAGGGGAAAATCCTTTTGATTTCATCTAGTTTTTAAAAAGTTTCAACTTAGGGACTTTCTGAAGTCAAATACAATGTAATAACATATTTTCCTTACACCTTGAATACATGCGTATTTTTAAGATCGACACTCTTTTACAATGTAGCTGACAGTGGGCATCCTGCAAGCTGCAGATCTTCTCTCCATGGACAGTGGCGGCACCTCCGACCCGTACGTCAGAGTTTTCATTCTCCCAGACAAGAAGAAGAAGTATGACACCAAGGTGCACAAGAAAACCCTTAACCCTACCTTCAACGAGACTTTCAACTTTAAGGTAGAGTATTGATTTAATTACGGTTCCAGTTAACGTCATCATCAGATGTGTGCAGAGCAGGGTTTAGACACCCCGATCACTACTATGTCCCGGGCACTCATGAGCTATTGTTGATTTCTAGATTGCGTTCAATGAAATGGGAGGAAAGACTCTGGTCATGTCTGTGTACGACTTTGACCGTTTCTCGAAGCACGACGTGATCGGTGAGGTGAAGATTCCCATGAACACCCTGGACCTGGCACAACCCATCGAGCAATGGAGAGACCTGGACAGCGCAGAGAAAGAAGAGGTAAACCTGTCCTTCATCTGTCATTCGCATTGTTAACGAGCAGCTGTGGCCATCTAATAATAGACTGCAATAATGGTTCATAACGCTTTCATATAATAATCTCTACCTTAACACATGTTACAAATGTGATGTTCCCTTTAGCAAATAATTGAAGGACTATTTAATAACTGAAGAGAAACTATTGATGTATTATTCACTGAAAATGAAATCTGTTTTGTCATTGTGTCTTCATTTACAGCCCCCCATGTTGTTCCAAACCCGTTTCTTTCTTTTGTAGACCACAGATGGAGATCGAATGTTCATGCTGCTCTTTTTAAAACATTTTAAAGTTAACAGTGAAGAAAAATACCATAGAGGTGCATAGTCCATAGCTTTCTGTGAGGATAAGACCGAAATGATGTTGTTATTTACAGAAAATGTTCCTAATCGAATCTAGTTTGTAAGATTTAAATGTGCAAATAAAAATATACAAACCGATGAGCCAAAACATTATAACCACCTGCCTGATATGCTGTTGTTCCTCCGCGTGCTGCCAAAACAGCACTGACCCGCCGAGACATGGACTCTACGAGACCCCTGAAGGTGTGATGTGGTCTCTGGCACCAAGACATTAACAGCAGATCCTTTAAGTCCTGTCGGTTGCGAGGTGGAGCTGCTGAGGATTGAATTTGTTGATCCAGCACATCCCACGCATACTCAATTGGATTGAGAACTGGGGAATTTGGAGGCTAGAGCAACACCTTAAACTCTTCATCATGTTCCTCAAGCCATTCCTGGAAAATGTGTGCAGTGTGTCAGGGTGCATTATCCTGCTGAAAGAGGCCACCTTCACCAGGGAACACCAGTGTCATGAAGGGGTGTACTTGGTGTGGGTGGCACGTGTAAATTGATGTCCACATGAATGGCCGGACTCAGGGTTTCCCAGCAGAAAGATGCCCAGAGCATCACACTCTCTCCCATCCTGGTGCCATCACTTCCACAGTAAACGGTGCACACGTACACGGCCGTCCACGTGATGTAAAAGAAAACGGGACTCGTCGGACCAGGCGACCTTCTTCCACTGCTCTGAGGTCCAGTTCAGACGCTCGCGTGCCCATTGTAGGCTTTTCGGCGGTGGACAGGGGTCATCATAGGCACTCTGATTGGTCTGCGGTTAAGCAGCCTCATACACAGCAGAGTGTGATTCACTCTGTGTTGTGACCAACGCTATCTCATGACCAATTCGCACGTATTTTACGAGGTGGCTAATTCGTACAAATTCGTATAACCTCACTCGTACGAATTCATACAATTTGTCTAATGATGGGTAGGTTTAGGGGTGGGGTAAGAGGTAGGTTATTCATACGAATTGGGCAACTCGTAAAATACGTACTATTTGGCAAAAATCGTACAAGTGAGGTCATACGAATTAGCCACCTCGTAAAATACGTATGAATTGCCATAAGATTGGGTTGGTTATGACACATTCCTTCCATAACCATCATTAAACTTTTGTGTGACTTGTGCCACAGTAGAGCTTCTGTTGGCTTGGGCCAGACGGGATAGCTTTTGTTGCCCTCGTGCATCGATGAGCCGGTAGCGCTTCCTTTTACAGTACAGTACTTACGTGTACTTACAGTGTACTTACCTAGAAAGTGCTGGCTAATATAAGGTAAGTACATGGGTTAGGGGTAGGTTTAGGGGTAGGTTCAGGGCTAGTACCTAGTTATTACCCAGTAATTATAATTACTATAATAAGCACATAGCAAGTACATGGGTAACAGGACTGTAAAAGGAAGCGTTACCGATGAGCCTTGGGTTCCCAACACCCTGGCGCCGGTTTGTAGTTTGTCCCTCCTCGGACACGGTTAATTCTCACCACTGCTGACCTGGAGAAACACCACAAGTCTTGCCGTTTCAGAGACACTCTGACCTAGTCGCCTTCCCATAACTATTCGGCCCTTGTCAAAGTCGCTCAGATCTTTATTCCTGCCCTTTTCTCCGGGATCCAACACGTTCATTACGACAACTGATTGTTTGCTTACCATCTACCCAGACCTTAATATGTGGCCTTGTTAGGAGATGATCAACTATATTTATATTATATTTAAATTATATAGGCCTATATGATTTGCATATTTAAATCTTACAACATTAATATATTTGAATTGGTCATGTCATGATCGGACACCCAACATTTGGCATCATTCATATCAGACTGAGTTCTTCAGACTGTCCCTTTAAGACCAACTATTTTATGTTTCCCCAACACAGCCTGAAAAGCTTGGAGATATCTGCATCTCTCTGCGCTATGTACCTACAGCTGGAAAACTCACCATCTGTATCCTAGAGGCGAAGAACCTAAAAAAGATGGATGTTGGGGGACTCTCAGGTACACACACACACACACACACACACACACACATAATGCACAGCTTTTCTCTTTTCTCTCTCCTCCAGAGAGTGGGTGGAGATAAATGCACGCAGAAGACTGGATGTTCATGCACATGCCATAACAATAAAATAATGTTTTCTCTTTTCGGTTTAGGCTTAGTGCATATGCTATGTGCATATTTTATTCAGTCTTTGTCTCCGCTTTAATGAATTCATTAATTGGTCATGTTTCTGTCAGACATGCACAGCAGGCTTCAGTGCTGCAGCAGTGCACTCGTGTCACGCCTGTGCTTTAGTGTCAGCGGTAGCCATGCAGAAGAAGATAGCGCTCACGTGCTGACTCTGCAGTCCTGCGCCACGCTTCCCCTCCAGTCAGTTCTCACTGCTGCCATCTGCTGGTGGCTATGAGAACTGCACTGCCCAAATCATTGCAAGGACCAGGATTAAAAGCCTTTCTTAATTATTGAATCTTGAGTGAAATTGGGAGTGATTACAGAACAAAGACCTAGGATGCGTCTCAATCAGCTCCCTAGCTCCCTATTGTGTACACGAATTCGGGCACTGGTAAGGACAGTAAAGACCCTGGCTCACTACATATTGGGACACTGGTGGCAGGGTTTCTGCAGGTTTTATGACGCTACATTTAAGACTTTTTAAATAACTTTTTAAGACCAACTAAAAAAATTGAAGGAACAAAAAAATCGAAGGGACAACAATTAAATGGCAATGTGTTCTCTAAGTATAGTTTCTAGGGAGCACATGAAGAGTTGTATTTATGGCAACATTTCAAAGTAAAAATACAAACTGATCTAACTTACTTTTTATTTTTAATTAAGTTTACATAAAGTATGTTAAGGCTTGAATACCTCTACTTCAACTACTTGAATGTGGAACTAACTTTTACCTTCTGATCAGACCCATTGTATATCTATGTACCTCTATGACAATGCTGTTTCTCCTGAATAGAGCTTAAACTCTCTCAACATTTATGTCAAAGTCCTGAAATGAAATACAAGCAATCTCCATCAAATCTTGTTGTAAAACAGTACCTTGAAATGGACAATAGATTTGAATTGGACAAACTATGAACACAGGTTAGTTTTCTTTCTTTTGAAGACAAAAGAATGCTCAAATACATCAGCATTGCAAATACTGAGAAGATTTTGAATATGTTGGAGCAAAACATTAATCAATTTGGCCAAGTTCAACAGCTTTCTTTGCAATTTCTTCTTCCAAATCCTCCTTTTCCTTCTGCTTATCATTCAACCGTCTCCGCAGTGCATTTGATTTGCTAATGAGCTGTACCATCTGACTTACGTGCTTCCTTTCTGCCTCTTCAGCACAGAGGTCAGCATTCTTTTCCAGAGATGAACAAACATCAACCAATGTTTTCTTTTCTTTCTTCAGTTGCTGAATGTCTTCCTCTGCTGCCATTCATTGGCTTTTCTCTTTCTCTTCTCCTCATCCACGTGGAGTCTGTATCTTGATCTTGCAGCATTTAGCTGCATTCAGTAACTCTTTTGATAAAGGCACATTCGAAATTCCACCTGATATCCTGACATAATCACAGATCAGCCTGTGTCTTCCTTCGTGTTGTATGTTTCCACTTCCTTACAGAAAACCCTCTTCCGACCATTGCCTGTCCATAAGACAAAAGGAGGATTTTTTGCAGAAGCTCCAAAGCTGTAAGATCCACAGATGACACCATGTAAAAATTCGTCAAGCCGTTAGTTCATGGGACGGAAAAAGACAAAAGACTTGGCTTTAAGATGAAGTAGACTGCCAAACTGCTGGGTTATTGTATCACCTGATACCAAGAAATATAAATTTTTTATTGTAAAATTATATTGGGAAAATAAATGTTAATATAAACCAAATTATAAATTACTATTATTATTATAGTTTTTTTTTTAAATACTCTAGTCTTGCTGACCTGAACTTTTTTTTTTTTTTTTTTTTTTACAAATTTTACATAGTAAACACAAAATACATAAAAAAATATGAGTATTAAATACCAGCTGAGACCCCTCCTAGAAGCTGCTTGTTCTCAAGAAACTTAGTTAAGTTAATAAGTTAATATGCTTAAAGTTAAAGACTTTGTGTAAGAAATGCATGACCGGCTGATCAGTTTGATACTACTCCAAGATTTGACTGCATCAACATATGTCTCCATGGATGGCCAAATCTCCACAGCTCTGTCAGCCACTCCAAGTTCTCCAGCCAACGGTGACCACAGAAGTGCAATGGGAATTTAGAAGACTTGGTCACAGAACAAAAAATCTTCTCTTCTTGCATTTAAACAGTGAATGTAAAGCCTTCAACAGTTTGTCTATCTGCCATTTTGCAAAAACACGTTTGAAGGCATTGTGCAGAGTGTGGAGTCCACAACTTCCAACAACAGCAAGATGTGATCCTCCAAATTGCTCCAATTGTTCTTGCTGAAGGAGTTCGAAAAACTTCCTATTTACGTTTGGCCTGTCCATTGCTGTAGACACCATATTTCGTACATTTAGTTTCTCCACATACTCATTGAAGTAAAAAATCTGAATGGCAATTTAATATAGGACGTGTTACAGGTCTGCCAGGATCCTGCACTATATTTCCCATTACTCTCCTGTGTTCCCACCTGCACGTCATTCCTAATCACACATACCTGCACCTCATCATCCCCACCTCTATAAAGACTCACTCTTCACTTCTGTTCACGGTCCAGTTTCGTTCATTCGAAGAGGACTACTTACCCTGATATTACTAATCTTGACTCTCCAGCATCTCCTTTATCTCCAGCATCTCCTTTATCTCCAGATTCTCCTTTATCTCCATTGTCTCCAGCGTCTCCATCTCCAACATCTTCAGTGTTCTTCGTACCAGCAATCTGTCTCCACAACTGTAAGAAGAACCATTCCACTCATCGCCTGCACACCGCTCTCCAAAGTATCATTGTCCATATCACTTCCCTGCATTCTGTCCCTGCTCATTGTTGTCTATAAACTCCTGTTAACTTCATTTACCATCTCTTGAGTCTGCTTCCGTAACAGGATGTGTCATAAAATATTTCTGTTCTACAGACCCCAGGCTATTCATAAGTGGGCTATCAAAAAATTATGGATTGCATACAGAAGTCAGCTGTCAAGAGTTTACATTATAATCATTGTGTTGGCTCATCAATCCTTAGTACATAAGTACATAAATGTCAACTGCTCTCTCTCTCTGAATGTCCGTTTGAATAGAGATTGCAATCTTTTAACGAGCATCTTTAGACCATGCTTTGTAAAACCCTGCTTTTTGGCAAAAATATCTTTCCTAGTTACAATTATTGTTAATATGAGTTCAGACAGTTACATAATCAAATCATAAAAGCTGACAGGATAAGAGATTATGCATGCATAAAACTCACCATAAAATTATGAAGTAAATCCTGAGCTGTAGCATGTCCAAGGAACTGGGAACCAAAATATTGAAACTGAACGCAGTCACCAGTCCGGTGGCGAATATGCATATCAGTTTGTTTGTTGTTGGTACTTTTGTTAAGGCTCTCGTCGAACATAACCACACAAAAGAGTCTTTGCTCACCTCTGAAATCAACTGCCATTTAATAAATGGTGCTAGTCCAAATTTCACCAAGAAACACGTTTTAATAGTTCTGAATCGGGAAACATTACACAAAATATCTTTTCGATATCGTCGTTTGATTTGTAGGAGTCGTGGCAGCTTTAGTAATTTCGGTCGGGTGTGTTTGCAGTGGGAAATTCATGTGTGGAAGCCCCCCCGGACCCCCCCCTCCCCTCCCAATAAAGTAAAACTGCACATTTTAGAGTGGCCTTTTATTGTGGCCAGCCTAAGGCACACCTGTGCAATAATCATTCTGTCTAATCAGCATCGTGGTATGCCACACCTGTGAGGTGGATGGATTATCTCAGCAAAGGAGAAGTGCTCACTAACACAGATTTAGTGTGTAATATTGCGTTTATACAACAGTTCGACGGCACAAGGGAGCTATCTCACAAGTGATTAAAAGATACAATTAGTACGATTTGTCTAAACCCACGTGATGGGTAGGTTTAGGGGCGGGGTCAGGGGTAGGTCATTCGTACGAATTCATACGAATTTAGTAACTCGTAAAATATGTACGAATTAGCAAAAATCTTACGAGTTTGTACGAGTGAGGTCGTATAAATTCGTACGAATTAGCCACCTTGTGAAATTCGTAAGAATTGCCGTGAGATCGGGTTGGTAAATAAAAAATAAAAAACAACGGAGTGTCTTTAAAAAACTCTTGTGCAGAACTACTTCCTTCCGCCAAGGATTTAAATCGCAAGTTGATAGTTGAGCCCAAGCCTCCGTTACTAATTCTAAAACACCACTTTAGAACTAGTACTCATTGAAGCTTATTGTATTATGTAGAATACATTATGGTATTATGAGAGAGAGATCAACTAAACGAGTGTATTACCTGCATCCGATATAGCATTCATTCTTCAGGTCGATGTTCATAATATTATATCCAAAAATATTAGTTTGAATATCCGCTAAGAATAGCGATATGTTCATCTTTGTTTTTCCCATAACATCTGTAAATAAGGTCTCACGCGTGTTCCGTCATGGCAAAGGGATTTTTAATTAAATGCAATACATTTTATCTTATGTATTAACTCGTTTCATCTGACTCCATAAAATGAAAAAGTTTTTCAATGATATCTGTGCATCATTAAATATACGTTAATGTTTGACTATTCCTTTTAACTCCAATGAAAATGAAGTCAAAGTCTGTTAGAATAATCAAATATAACAATTTATTATGTCAGGTAAAAATATTAAGCCAATTTCATAATCAGTTCAAAGATCATCAATACAAAACATCAAATGCTTTAGGATAAGAGAAATAGATGCAAACCCAACATTTAAGAACTACATGAGCTACCTCACGGTCTATCTGAAATACAGAAAGAGCCCTGAGCTCTCGTTGCATTTTCCTTATATAGCCAGACCTTATTTGATATGTAAAACTAGAGTTTAGTGGAAATTTACTGTATTCCCCCACCATTACTGGGGGTAGAATTTACACATTTGGGAGTGCCTAGAGACCACATTCCTTTGTGTGCCAGTTATTCCTAAACTCTTAAAACCCTTATTTCCTTTTGTTTTACTCTTTTGGAATGAGACATCTGAACCAGCCACCCTGAGACCTTTAAAATGATACTAAACACAATAATCATTCACATTAAACCATATATATATTCTTATGTGAGTTTTAGCTGTTACTGGGTGAGAGAATGAAATGTAAATCAGGTGAGACTGCGTGAGGGGGAGGTCGAATGTTAATTTTCAGCAAGTTCCTTTGTTTCAATAGACCAATAGACCAATAGGTCAGGACAGTTCCTCCAACCAGTTTTACAGTCTTACACATCGCTAAATCAACTTCCTTCCCCTATCTAATATAATTGCATAACGACTGGCACTTGTAAACCTTTACAGATCCCTATGTGAAGATTCATCTTCTGCAAAATGGGAAGCGACTGAAGAAGAAGAAGACGACTGTGAAGAAGAACACGCTGAACCCGTACTACAACGAGTCCTTCAGCTTTGAGATCCCACAAGACCAGATGCAGGTACGCTTTACACGACTCAACACAAGAGTTTACCCTTTTTGTGCTCCTTCAAACTTTGAGCACAATATCTGTTTCTTTCTTAGAAAATACAAGCTGTGGTCACGGTGCTCGACTACGATAAGATCGGCAAGAACGACGCCATCGGGAAGATCTGGGTGGGAAGCAAAGCGCAGGGAACTGAGCTTCGGCACTGGTCCGACATGCTGGCAAACCCACGCAGGCCCGTCGCTCAGTGGCATCCACTCAAACCTGAGGAGGAGGTGGATGCCACGTTAGCAGCCCTCACTGCCAAGAAGTAATCCTGTTCTTCTTCCTTCCCTCATTCCCTCTCTCCTTTACCTCCTACATTTCTTTCTTCCACTTTTCAACATGCACTACATGTCATCTTACCAAGTCAGCACCGAATTACAGCCATGGGCCACCAGCCTAAAGGTATTAAAGAAGACGATTCGGCCTCATCAACTGCTAAAATGAGATAGTGGATCAGGGTGTGATGAGCGAGACTGTTTCCACAGAAGTTTTTGAAGACAGGCCAAGCTCATAGGCCTGTGTATCCTTGAGGTTTATTCACAGAAGAGATGTAAGCTCACATTCACACCCATATATCCAACAGATCAAAAGCATTCCAAAGTTTTCCATCGGGGACCAGGGATAGAAAACACTGCCTCTTCCACTGCCTAATTTAACACATTCCTTCTAGATTCGCTGGTCATCTAGATGAAATCAGTTGTTACGTTTGTTGAGTCTGAAAGGACAGTTGAAGAATGGTTTAAAGTAAAGTGAAAAAAAAAAAACTAGAGGAAATGGGGACTGGAGAGATAGTTGGACTAGATGCTCCTGACCCAACCAGACGGTATATTTCAGGTGTCGATTACACTGCCTGCAAAACAACCTCTTCTTCCATTCTTTGGTTCCAGCTGTCAGCTGGGTTCTTCCACTGCCCAACATCCTAACAAACCCTGACAAAAAGGAGACAAGCCTTGAAACATCACGAAATAAGCAATTCTTAGCTTCCAGGGACGTCTTCCTGTTAGCATCGGTATATTTGTTTCTTTGTGTTGATTTCTTGTAGATGTCTTCTGCCTGAGCACTTTAAACGAAGGTGTGTTTTTGTTCCAGTCAATGCTTCGGTTTTAATCTGCTTTTATTTGTACCTGCATTCTGGAGTTTTCGTGTGTTTTTTGATGTTCTGAACCCACTCATTAAAGGAATAGTTCACCAAAAGAAATTTAAATTAAGTCATCATTTACTCGCTTGCCTTTCTTGCGGCAGTGGAACACAAAAGGAGATGTTTCACAGCATGCTCTCTTCCATTCAATGGAAGTCAAAGGGGACCATCAAGCTTAAAAAAAATTAATCATCCATTTATATCCCAAGTCTTCTCTGAAGCCATACACTTTTAGAAGAAAAAGTTCTAGAACCTCAAAGGTCGGGAGTTTAATTTATATAGAATCTCTTGGGGGTTCCCTCCATGTTATCATTTTAAGGATTTAGCTTAATTCAACAATTTATAATGCGAATTATATTGTATGAATTAAACAGCTTGTAAACATACTTTATCAATAGAAAAAAACTCATTAAGCTTGAAAGGATTATTCAATCATTTAAGACATTTCTCAGTGTATAGAACCTTTTTAGCATATAGGATTCTTTAAAACTGAGTCAAGAATATATAGATAGGGTTCTAACCATAGGGTTCTATATAGAACCCCAGTGAACCCAACATATCTGACAGAGTGACACTCAAGTTGTTTTTCACAAAATTCTATAAACATCTTGCTTGGTCGCCATTCACTTTCGTTGTGTGGAAAAGAGCAGCTTGGACATTCTTCAAAATTTCTCCCTTTGTCTGACGGAAGAAAGTACGTCATTCAGATTTCGAAAAACATGGAGTGAACTATTCCTTCTGAGAACTTCCATCACTTTTTGTTTTCATTTTATACTCAATGTTTAAACCAGAAGTTCTTATGGATTTATGAGAAGAGTTGATGGAGGGTACTGTTACGTGTGTATTTACTGCACATCTTACCAAACCACTGAACTTATTTGCACTACTGGAACTGCATTCTGTACATGTTGCTCTGTCAATATCAATATGAGCTGTCAGAGTTTGCATTTGTTTAAAAAGGGAAATTGTATCAACTGAAAGCTGCTTTAGGGCTTACAGTATGATGAGTCATTGTGTGAGGATGTGAATCTCAGAATATGATTTGCTTAAGACCGACGGAGAAGTAAATCTTTGTGCGTTTTATCCTCATATTGCCTGGAGAAACTCTTTTGGCAATGATGATACCTTGTGATATCGGTTCAATTATTAAGTTGTTGGGAAATTAAGCAAATCCGCAAACCTGATTTGGATCAAGACCTTTTTGTGGAGCATAATTTATTGAGTATAGACTTTTAAACCAGGCCAAAAACTACATGTAAAGACCCACGAGTGGATTTGAGGGAGACTTTGTTGTGTACATGCTGTAACCCATTAAAAACTCACTCTCGTAAGGAAACGTCACTTTAGCGGCTTTTATCCCCCACCAAAAAAACAAGAAAACATCACTCTACTGCCACAATCAGATTGGATGATTGCAGTAGTTTCTCCAATTTCATGGTAAAGTCTGTGATCGTGAAATTCGAAAGCCCTATGATTTTGTCTTCCTGCGGGCACACAAAGGTTTTTATTGCAGAATGTTAGAGACCTTTTTAAAAAATAATAATGAAACAGGACAGATTTGCACAATAAAAGAACTCAATTCTGCTCATGCTCTATATTCCAAGTCTTCAGAAATCCCACAATAGCTTTGTGTGAGGAAGAGAAATTTACACTGTTAACCCAAAATTGAAAATTCTGTCATGATTTGCTCACCCTCGTGTCGTTTCAAACCGGTATGACTTTCTTTCTTCTGTGGAACATAAAAGAAGATATTTTAAGGACAGTTTTTGTCCAATTAATGAAAGTCAATGGGGTCCAAAACAAGATTGGACCCCATTGACTTTCATTGTATGGACAAAAAAAAAAAAAACTAAAAGTCATACCAGTAAATGATTACAGAATTTTCCATTTTGGATGAGCATTACCTTTAAGTCTTAACATTTTAAATATTTCCCACCACCATCTGCTGTGGTTAGGGGCGGGGCTAATTATTTGATCCTAGTTTATTTCGTAAACAAAGTAAATCAAATTGCAGTTGAAGCCATTTTGTGTCATTGAAATATCTGAAGACAGCAGAGACTCAGAAAGAATCTTTGTTTGAAAGTTGCTTCAGTGACGTTTCCCTTGATAAAACAGAAGCAGCTCTTCTGAAAGGCTGTGTTCAGTTGCAATAGCAGGTATTTCCGTCCACATTCACAGTGCCGTTTGAAATTTTTGCAGGTCTAATGAATGTGTGATTATTTGTTTATCATGCTTTTGTTTTTCCGCTAGAATCGAAACATCATTTAGGGATCGCTGTCTTTGTTTACTCTGTCAATGTCATTTTTTCAGGTTTAATCTCTTACACAAATATGTCCCTTATTTCAAAGAACGTTCACAAAAAAAATAAAAGTCGTAACTTGCAACTAACACCCCCTCCCCAAACCCATAGGCGTGTAGTTTGACCTATATATGCATAGTTCCTACTTTATGATACTGCATGTTACAATACAAAAAAGATGCGCATGTTTCAGAGATGAAGCAAAAAAAATAATATATTGTGTACCTAAGTAGGTGTTCTTTGTCATTTTAATAACAAAACGGAGGAGGATAAGATACTGTGTATATTTTCTAATCAAATCAAATATGTATTTATTTTCTGTGAGTGGGTACTGGAGAGAATATGAAGTAAACTAGACTAATCTTCATTTTCAGATTCAATCCATGCCTGGACATCATGAGCAAATACTGTATGTTAAGTGCTTTGTGTGAAATAATATAGAATGAAACCGTAGCCGCATGCTTGCCGTCTACTAATATTGTTAAGGAACAAAATGTTTATGTCTTAATTTATTTATTTATATTTATTTTTCAGAGTGATATTTCTACGTTTCTTTGTCCTCTTGTTTGTTGGGAAGTAAAAAAATTCCAGCGGGGGCTCCAAGTGAATATTTTCCTCCATCCTGTAGGATCCTGTAATCAGCAGTAATCAGTATCTCTGTCTGAAAGTTCTGGATCATACAGAATCTTTTTATTATTATTTTTTCCCTTCTTATTCACTGTCAGTGCCAATGAGAGAAGTCACGTTTACTGCCATTTTATCTGACTTTACGTCATTTTTACGTGATTTTTTTTCGGACCAACTGATTCCTACCTTGGCGACGACGTCGCCAGAGCACAATATTATCAATCGTGTTACAGAAAACTTGGAGTCCCCATTGTTTTCTAAAAAAAAAGAAGCTTTTCTTTATGAGTCTTTTACATAATAACAGCGTTTAACTAGCCAATAAACAGTAAGTTTGTGTGTGCGAGTGTGACTAAGATAAAGCCATAAGACTTGAGCTAAATCTTTGGAGCTCAGCTATATAGATGATCCTAAAACGTGTCCTCCTTTCATAGGCCGAAGTTCCTCCTCGACATTCCATGTAGTCTGTGAAGCTACGGGGCCAGACTGTTTCCTAAAATGTGCTAAGTTATAAGAATTATTGGCAGTTCAACTTGCAATAGTCCGTTTTTTTTTTCTGTTAACAATGTGTCTTGATGTTTATTAGGATGATTTCAGTCTGTATTGAGTTTTGTAAACGCCTTGATTTAACACAAAGTGTGCTAGGGACGTCTGTATGAACACACACATGTGTTCGTTGCCATTCCACTGTGTATGTGTACACATGCATTATTAAAAGGGCAATTAAAAAGGAGGTTTAGAATGGCTGTCTAGCCATGAAAACACAGGATGTAAAAGTTCTTGTTTTTACCATTTTAATAATAATTCACAATCCCAAATTCGTGGGATGAAGCAGAAATTCAGCTTGTCCGAGTCATTTCAATCAGCATTCCTTGAGGTTTGAGTGTGATTGTGTGTGACTTTAAAAAGAATAATGCATTGGCCCTTTAATAAATAATCTTTATTTTTTTTTTGTGAATTACTCGAGCACTGCCATTCTGCCTATATGGCAGCATGCACAATGAGCATTTGTTTGAAACATTCCTGATCGCCAACCATAGACTTGCAAGCAAAGATATGTGGGAGCAGTTAAAAAAAAAAAAAACGCTGATGGATTCCATCTTTATCTTGCTCTCCATGTATAAATCAGCTTACAAGACCAGCTCAGTTGTCTTTGTTAATGCTCTGTGACTGTTTTATGTCATACAAAATCAATGAGAGTCTGCTCTAACGCCCATAACAGAGACGTCATCACCTTTGTTTTTGAATGCTAGCCGATGCTATCATGTCTGCTTTGGTTAATCACATAGCAAAAGTTCTGGGGGGGGGGATTTAAAAGCCTGCCATTGTATCTCTTTTATTTGATTCTTCTCTTGCACTTTTCATTCTGCTTATCTGGAGTTGTAAAATGCTCTTTTTTTCTATCTGTGGTGGTCTTTTTTTGTTTTCGTCGGTGGGAGACTGCGAGGGTTTAGCCCTCAGGCTATGTTCGTACCCGTTTCGGTGTTCTCGTATGTGTGCGTGTGTTCATGTCCGTATTGTCGTGCCTAGTGTGGATCAATCGCATGCTTTAGCCCTTGATGGGACACTTTGAGAAAACGTTGCTCACAGACTCTTCCCACAACCCCCTAGTGGACAGTACATGAGCATCAGCAATCCTTGTAAAGACGTCAAGGGAACCAAATAGCTCTACAGATTTATCATGTGTGTTACCAGCTCTGTACTGAAACAAATGAGAAAATAAAGGCCTTTTAATTACACTTCATTCTGATTATAATGTTGGTGTACGTTATTTGACACTGATTTTCTTCTCTGTTTGCTTTATTTATTTTGTATCTTTTACAGCTCTGACAATGATTAAGGAAGCAGATATTTAATAAAAGGTGGTACTGACTTCAAAAACCCTTTCAAAAAAGAAGTAAACGTCAAGTTTATTTTATTAGGTAAAATTCACATATTTTCCAAGTAAACTTAATGTAGTGTCATAGTAAAGAAAAGTTAGATGTAAACAGCTGTAGTAACACTTAAAAGCACGCCAATTTACTCCCAAGAAGTGTTTTAATAATACATACTAGTACACAGATATTTGTATACTTACAACACTGTAAAAATCAGTTGACTTAACTTAAAAAAAAGTGAGGAAGCCGGTTCCCTTAAAATTAAGTAAATAAACTTCATGCGTAATTCAAAAAATAAGTTATGTGAACTTGACAATTTTTTTTTAATT